ACTTCTTTACATTATCTGTGTCTATATATAAGTTAAATTCTTTTGCATATTACATGAGTGGCGGACGTCATGGGTTCAAGCCGCAGAAATGCATCTTGCATTTCTGCAAGGTAAGGTTGCGTATAATAGACTCTTGTGGTCCGACCCTTTTTCGGTCCCCGCTCATAGCGGCGGGATCTTAGTGCACCGGGCTGCCCTTTTATATTACTTGAATTAATTTGTTGCGTGCAAGCTATTCGTTTCTATTTTTACTTAATTTTTTCTGGTTTGGAACTTTCCACAAGAGTAAGTGATAAAAGAAAGATACAGTAAATTGCTTAGTTAAATTTGGGTCTAATTGAAGTTGACAGGATAACATGTTTGAATGATTTTTGTCTCTCCAACTATTCAGGAGGGGCAGATGTAGTTCACTGACAAAGGCCGAGTGTTGCTATAGTATTATACTTGTGTTCTTCCTTTCAAGAAATATTGCATGTTTCAGAGTGCGCTGCATTTTTTACTCTTAATTTTGATGCATAGACTATCCATTATATCAGTAACCTGTTTTGCACTGATGTTATCGTAGAATTTGAACATTAATATATTTGCTGGACAACCGGATAATTTGTCCCTCAGGAACTTATACAGTAGGTGCATCCAGGGGCGTATACACCTTGTCCTATGTTGTGTCACCGGACACTGCTTCGTCGAAATTTTTACTAGTTATGTATAAGAAAAAATTAAAAAATGGGAGATAAATATAGAAAATGATGCCGCTTATTTCTTCAAGTTATTTATTAGTTCATTTCTTCAAGTTGTGATAACGCTTATAAAAAATCATGCGTACGCCACTGGGTCCACCGGTGTAGCTGTCAAATAAGAGAAGCATCAAGGATTTTTGAAGAAAGCTGAATTTAATTGAAAATTGGTTAACGCGAGATCTTTTAGTCTTTAAACTGTATGTATAGCTTACAAGATCTCAAATGATAAGAATTGCTCTGTGGACTAGATATTACTTGAAGGATTTAATGTTATAAGTGAGAATAAGTATCAAATTTCGATGGATTTCTGAGGAGATACTGAACTTTTAAGTGACTTATATAGGCTTTAGCACCTTCTTTTTTCCCTTGTGATGGAGCTAGCTCGGCGTTAACTAAATGCCAGGTTGTTTGGTAAGATGCAAATTGTGTTTATTACATCATACTCTATAACAGACATTACGTTTATCATGCAGTACTACTATGAGCCCGGGACTGGGCTAAAGTTCAGATCATTGAGAGAAGTCGAGAGACGGTTGAATGGAGAGATATATGCTCCTAGATCCAGGGCATTGATAGTGAGACACAATCAGGCAAGTGTAAGATTTGAATATTTCAAAAGGATGTTTGTAATTTCTCTCGTCTTAGTGATGTCTGAATATGAAAACTCTCTTTCTTATTTTGGTCTTTTTCTGTTTCATCATCGACGGAGTATTCATACTTCACAGAGTTCTGTATCTCGGAAGATGGTTGTTTATGGTGGAAAGGTACAGATTGACTACACTTTGGCCCTCAGTTCTTTGACTTAATTACTTTTGATGGATGGGATGTGGAGATCTATTAGTATAGTTATACTTTTATTTTCATTTGGACAGTCCATATTGTTGCTCTTTTTCTTCCCCTCGTTCTTGTAAGTTGTAATTGAAAAAAGAAATATGCCGTAAAAAATAGACTTATATTTTTGAGCTTTGCGGCCATTATTTGAGTAGAAAAGAAGTTCTGAATATTTTTGTGATTTAACATACTACTCCATATAGTAATTCCGGAATAATAAAGTGACTGTCCAAGTTTCCTGTCTAATATTGCAACATCTGTTTCATGTCCAGCATGGATATTCAATTGGAATATGCATGTTTAGGAACTTTGAAATATATGAACAGAATGTTTCTTTTTCTCTGTTGCCATTGTTTTCTTGTGATTTTAGAAAACACAAGCTTCAATTGAACATCTATAGGATGCAAAGCCATAATTCTGCTGTTTGCGCAGAAACATTAGGTGAATGAATCCAGGGAATTATATTCCTTTACAGATAGTTAGACAAGAAACAAACTCGTTTTACTTTGATTTTATGCTATGCAAGTAAAGACTGAAACTGATGCGACAAAATTGCAGATAGTGAGAATGGACGAAGAGCAGTTGAATCAATGGGCAATTGTGCCATCAAGAAGTGCAGCCACCTTACCCTATGAACTTCCAGATGGTTGGGTGATAGAAGAGGTACCACGTAGAGACGGAAGCTTCGTGGACAAGGTACACTCTCTTGTCCTTCAAAAATAGTGAATTCGTTTATCTTTCTTGATTCAGCTGCTATCAAGTTTCCCCAAATTAGCTCTATCACTTATGTCCAAAAATGATGTTTCATTACATAATCCAAAGTTTAAACTTCTGAAAGTTCTAAGTTTTTTTTTTTGCATCCAAGTTAAGAGAGCATTTCCCTAAGAATGGATAGCGCGAGACGAGGCAGGTGGAACATATCACCCTGAAAATTGGTAGCCCTGTTTGTGTGCTTTTCCTAAACATCTTACATCATGTTTTATGTAGAGAGATCAACTGTCAAAAATAAATGTTTCATGCAGGAGATCACTGATTTAAGTGCTTCAGTTTTGCATGATTTGAAGAGAGCTATTTGAGCGAAACTGTTCGAATGGACAACAGTCAGGTTCGAAGCTGATGCTTGCATCAGGGTAGGCTGCCTACATCACACCCTCTTGGGGTGCGTCCCTTCCTCGGGACCCTGCGTGAACGCCGGATGCTTTGTACACCAGGCTGCCTTTTTTTTTCTTTTTCAATGGACAAGTTATAATAGTATCTGTTTGAGTGGCAGGCATTGAGTGTGTTACTGAATTACCCTTGCTGTTACAGACTTATAGCATTATTGGAATTGGAAACTTGATTATTTTTTCAAAACCTTGCTGATATGTCACAAGCAATCTATCTTATGGAATGTGCTAAACCTTCTCTTTACCATGATGTTCTTTCTCATTTTCACAACTATGACAAAGATTATCCCTTTTCACGTTTTCCCCCTTTTGTTCTGGCGAAGTTGCAACTATTTTTTTTCCTTGTACGCAGTATTACTATGAACCAGTAACTGGACTAAAGTTTAGGTCCAGAATAGCAGCACAGAGATACTTAGCAGAAATGAGAGAAGATGTTCCTTTGTCAGCTACTCTAGAAGAACTAAAAGAGAATAAACCGCTCTCCAAGATGTTTAAGTTGCACCATCAGGCAAAGGTGAGCTAATATCTTGAACGTCAAAATGCATGACATTTATCTCTTTTTGATGTCAAGATATGTCTTCTTTTGTGTCTTTGTAGAAATCCGTTCCATGTAAGAGAAACATCTCCAGAGAGGATTTGCAGAAGTCGTCATTTCTTTCTCCACCTGCAAAAGTAAATTGGGTTCTTTCTAGTCCTAAAGGGGATGGTTGGGACCCTTTCATTGCTGGAACACCAATCCCTGATTCGGTAAAACAGCAATGGACTAAAAGATTCATGTTGTTCATGAATGATGAGACTCCGAATGCAGAAAACTCAGACTAGAAAGGTAAGCCAACACGCTAAAGCTTCAACTGATCTATACTCCTTTTCATATACAGATCGAATAGTACTGTGTGACCAAATATGTTTCTAACCAATCGGTTATCTTCGTTGCAGTTAAAGACGGATAGTCGGAGAGTCCAGGAAAAAAATCCAGATGGAAACAATAGTTTATGTTACAAGCAAAGCTTGGACTGCTTGTAAAACCTAGAGAATTACATGCTGATCTTGTACATACTGACATTATGGAACTCCATCTAACATTACTTCCTAACCATTGTACAGAATCTGTTGTCCTGTTTATTTCTATGTCCGCTCGTGCTCTCAACGTCCAACTGATGTATCCTATTACAGTTTTGGCAACTTTTTACTATGGTGCATGTTTACCTTTCATAGATGAATACAATAGCTAGTTTGCTACTATGGGTGATTTGATGTCAGTTCAAGTGCAATCCAGTGTACTTGCATGAGCTCTATTTGAAAAGCTGGCTGCTGCTTGAATCAACATCAAATCATTGCTAAAATTGTTTCCCCTTTGTTTCATTTTACACGACGGTGTTTGGTTGGCATGGAGTTTTAAAAAAAAGGAAAATCTTTTGGCATATATCCAAAGTATCATTTAGAACTTGTAATCTTAAATATGCCGTTACATTTCTTGGCTATAAGAGCATGCCATTTAAGAGTAAACTAAGAAGTTTCAATGGCCAAATACATAGACAGCCCATTAAATTTGGCCCAATTTTTCATTTTGGCACTTTAACTCAGCTTGTTCCATTTTGGCCCTCCAACCTCATTTCTTTTGTTCCACTTTGATACAAAAGCTAACTAGATTCCATGTGTGATTTGCCTCACCCTTGTAGGCGCGTGAGAGCCATTTTTTAAGTCAAATTTCATACTCCCAACGTAGAGGCGAATTCAGAATTTAAATCCTATGGATTCAATTTTAATGTTTTTAACATTGAACCCATTATATTTTTAAAGTTATGGGTCTATATCTATTTTTTACATACAAATTTTTACTCTGTGTCGAAAGTTATGGGTTCAGTTGAACCCGTAGTTATTACTGAAAATATATTTAAAAAAATATTTTTTCCAGGGGAGGAGGGCAGAAAAAACGAAAAAAATAATAATTTGAAATTACAAAAAAAAAAAATTGCGGGAGGAGGGGGGTAGCAGCTGGGTATTTGTCCGCGCTGCATTTTTACCTGGGATACAGTAAAAAGAATTAGCTCTATTTACATCATTGCAAAGGCAAAATTAAAGACTTCATTTGAGGAATTAGGACCATAAAAATCGACTCGTTTGGGTCATGTCTGCTGTAATGAAACGGAACACTTTGATTTGTGTCCAGCCAAATGTCTGGCAATTGAAAGGTACCAGGAATTTGGACAATGTTGGAACCATGCATTCACAGGTTAAACAACTAGCAAAATTCCTAGGAGAAGAAAATAATGTATGATTAAATAAGGAAAAGAGCCCAATAATGACTTATTTTCCTACAAGTAATATATCTCAGTATCCACTCTGAAACAGGAACCACCTAAATAAACTTATAAAAATAAAAATTAAAAATCAAATATTAGTGCCTACATATCCTTTTGAAAATATTCTGTATCTGCCATCAAATTGATAGCTTATGCTATTCCTTCACTAAGAAACAGTGACATTATTTAAGAATGTCACCTCCCAGATAAGTACAGGGACAGATTGTCCCTTAAAACTGAAGCAGTCTTGTCGACAGATTCACAAACCTCTTGCCCGTATCCTGTATCGTGGTGATGAGATAGAGAAAATTCGTCCAGAACCTCATCTTCCATGTCGATGACAATGTTGTGGAGAATGCAGCAAACAAGGATAAATCTCGGTAGCTTGTGCTTGTCCGGCCTCCACATTAATCCATGAATCATTTTCCAGACTTCCTTTAGCCTTGCCAATGCCCTTTGTGCCACGATACGGGTGGCAAAATGCTTCTTATTGAACTCAGCTTTAGATTCTGAAAGTTCCTTCCCTTGATAAGGAGTTAAAAGCCAAGGTAGCAAGGGAAAACCAGAATCACCAATAATATATTCGCGTACTTCTGCTTCTTCAGATAGCTTTATCTTGTTCCCGTTCAATCTATCTCCTTTCTCGCAGAGTTTAAAAAAGGTTGAGCTCTGAAGTACTGAATTCTCTTTCATCTTTCCTGGCAATCCCGTGACAACATCACGGAACCTCATATCGGGATCAACAACTGCTTGTAGGATCATGCTGTGGCTTTTGTTTTGATCTAGCCATACGTCAGCTGTCTGCTCGGACGAGGATAACATCAATGTGATGTGTGTAGTATCGATTGCACCACAACAGTTTGGAAGTCCTTGGATTCTTTCAAACTTGGACTTTATCTGTGTCATATCCTGCTCGGTGGAAGGCCACCGTAGGTGGTGAAGCCCCTTCTCCTCAATAGCCTCTATAAAGCGCCAAGTTACTTGAGACACAGTTGAGTGGTGTGCGCCAAACGAGTCACCCACAGAAATTAGAGAATTACCCGAGCTCAGCCTCCTTAGAGCTAGCGCTACTTGCTCATGCAAAGACATGGGCTTGCCATTTGAGAATACAAAGTGAGCCGACTTTGGCTGCATGTGCTCCTTTGCAAGGGAACATATGTAGTCGAAAGTGCTTCTAGACATCTTGAAAACAGATTGGAACTTATCCAAACCCTTTGATGGAGATACATTCCCTGCAGAAAAGATAATTTATCCACAAGGCAAATAATCAAATTTCATGTTGACCATCCAAAAAGGCAGGATTCACTTGTTATCAATCACAATCGAGAAATGCGAGTATGGGACTTGGAAAGAATGTGATTTCTCCACAAAATATGTATTTAAGGTAATCCATGACACTGGACTGAGCAGCTAATGTCCTTGCTACTAATTCCGGNTAAGATACTAAGAGCTTACCATTTGTCAAGTTCAAGAACTTTGGTAGATTAAGAAGGCAAGGTAAAATAAGTAATCCTATTTGCTATTATTTACAACTGTCATGCAAATATATACCTGAAAATAAATTTAAAAACTGAAAATCACACAGTTGAGCACATCTAATAGCAAGAATTTTAATGTTTAAGCAACATTGCACGATATATTAAATCATTCGACTTCATGCGCAGACTTCATTTGGTTGAATAGGCTGGATAAAGGGCTAGTTTCCATAGCTTCCATTATGGATCAATCAATTTGTCATTCATCAGAGTAATCACAACTTTGATCAACAGATGCAATTCAAATGGCATTTTCTGTCAGCTTGGATTATTTCATGCCCTTGTTCATGAATGTGTTCCAAAAGATAACATACATATTCTTTTTCCTTTTGACATGAAAAACCACAGTATTAAGCGGGGAACAGTCAAAAGTGTGGGCCAATGCCATTTCTCACATTATTTGATAGAAGTTCAGAAAGCTAGTTCTTCAAAGCTAAATAACTTATAAAAACGAACGAGGGACCTCCATCTCTACCTTGCTTTGATATTGTCCAGTGAAGCAACAACAACAGCAACAACACAGTATAATCCTACAAGTGGGATCTGGGGAGGGTAGTGTGTACGCAGACCTTACCCCTACCTTGGTGGGGTAGAGAGGCTGTTTCCGATAGACCCTCAACTCAATATTGTCCAGTGAAGCAATATATGAAAAATCAAGGCAACAAAAGATACCACCAATTATCAAGGAAAAACAGATATTATTCTTTTGACCATTTTTTAAACTTCTGGTTTTATTGTTCTTTTCAACTCTTACTGGGAATAGGAACACCTTTCTGTAACTATTTCTTTTCCTTTGCACAATTTTTAATTTAACGAACAGAGAACCATCTATTCAATTTTAAATGACTGGAAAAGAACACAACAGAGCAATATACAAGAAATTGTGACTTTCCTGTTTATTGAGTAGACAAATCACTGCCTTTTTTAATTACGAACCAATTCAAAAAATCTAACTTCTTTCACTCTATAAATTGAACCCTCCATAGTCCATCCTACTCACCTCTATCAATAATATGGTAAACAAGAGGTTTTTCGCAAACTCTATTACTTCGCCTCAGGTCTCATCTAATCTCGATTTCTGAAGTGCTAACTTAAATATCTCCATCAGCATTTTCATTTTCTTTCAACCTAAACTGTTAGGCTTGTTAAATATACTTCTCATATATTTCAAAACAGAATATAATTGCTTCACATGCTGTCAAAATATGGAAGTTCAAGCTACAAAATAACTAAATAGTTTCTCTAAACTGTCCTCAAGCATAGAGACACCCTGCACATGCAGAAGAAATACAGAACAACAAGCAGACACCCTCCATAAAAATTAACGCTGTAATAATAATCTTTTTTAAAAATTATTTACTAGCATATTCATGTGGGTTCTGGAACCTTCAAGAGTTTATTGATTACTCGAGAATTTGATAGATACTGGCACTACCTGTACATATACATATTTTATACACTAACATGTATTTATATGTATATGAATTTGGAAAACACCTAAACCTCACATAAAGGTGCTGCTCAAAATCTTTTTCAGAAAAAGATTATTGCTAATATCTTTGATGGATAAAAGACAGGCATTCCTAATAAATGGATGTTTGCATCTAGTGCATCGGTGCCAGGTAGGATGTAAGTACCTCAGAAACCTAAGGTGATCCTATCGGTGATCCTATGTAGTAGATGAAGAAGTTATATTGGTAATCGATGCTACCAAAAACTCATTGGTAGAGTTGATTCTCTATCAACTTTTGGCACCAAGTAACTTGTGGTATATCTACAACCACTTAATAGCACTAGACTTGATACAGACAAAGATATACCTGATGCAAGAGCTGAGAGGCATTTCCTCATTGGCCTTCTCCTTTAATTCTTGCCCATCCGAAGAAACTAAGCTAGAATATATTATTGGCTACCACTAACTAAACATCTCACTTACAGCTTCAACAGCTTTATAACTCTAGATCTACTTGAATATCATCATAATATCCATGCAGAAAGCAACGACATAAGCACCGTAATAGATTCTAGTAATATCTATGTAGTGGAACCTTTGTTGGAAGAAGAGCAGCAGACAAAAATGGCATTTACTGCAGCAACTCCTTAACTATCATCTATTGCCTAGTAAAATAATTCGCATACATATGCTTCAGCTACATCTCCACAGTAAGAATGGTAGTAGAGAAACCTCTTTGGCCACTGGCCTTTGCTTCGGCAAATCCATCAATCCTCCTCCTAATTGCAGTTGACAATTGAGTACCAAAAAATGCCTCAAATTTTTCGTACTTCCCAAAACATTCAATTGTTAATTGATCTTTAAAAAAACTACATATGCTCAACATTTGTGGCAACCAGGTCTAATGACTTCACCTGAACTGCAGTTTTTGTGTTAGACATTCATCCAATTAGCATGTACGTAACAACTGAGAGGAACACAACTAGCCTGCTAATACTGTAGTACAAGAGGGAAACCACTTTAATCCACTGAAAGTGAGAAGAGTAAAACTATCATTTTCTAAAGTCAGCAATATGCAAACCATTTAATCTGCTCGGTTGACTGGCAGACTGCATCTTAGTTCAAAGGAAGAATGCAATGGCAAACCAAGAATGTTCCTTCCGAACTTCAATTTTTTCAGCTTACTTGCCATTATGTTGAATATTTGGCCAACCTTGTCCAACCTTGATATCTCCTTTGGTCCGAGTACTTCGGCAAAAAGTTGTTCTTTGGTCCGAGTACTTCAGCAAAAAGTTGTCCCTTAGATACAGCCCTAATTGAATTTGATATATACTAACCCCATCTCTATATGACCAAGCCAGTGTTGTCTTGCAGCCAAGAGAGGTTTGGACAGTATTACTCTGGGTTCATTAAGTTCTTGGCTAATGAAAACTTTAGATCCATGTGACGACTTAAAAGGTAGATGCCAAACAAGAAACTGCTAGAAGTGAATGAATACGTACTTTTGATCATGCTTCAACATTTTTCTTTTAAAAAAAAAAGAGAGATAGAGAGATCAATCTCATGGTAAATCTAAGTTTCTGTTTTGGCGGATAGTCAGGAACCTGTTGTGGTATCTAGCCAATTTTCCAGTTAATACAAAACATGCTTTCCGAGGAGCATGGGGTAAAAACAGAGAAGTCACCATACTTTTAAGAATGTATTAACCAAGAGAATGTTAAAGAGAAAATCATCACCTATCATCAGTAGACGTTGGCCTAGGATAATAGATGCAAACTTTTACGCGCAGATGAATCTCACGTCAAGATCTCAAGCCAGCTAAAAATTGTAAATGGTTCTCTAAGGGCCAAAACATGAAGTAAAAGCAGAATGATTATAATTTGGTCGAAGCAACAAAAAACTGCTTTCTTTTGAAGCATTGTGGGGATAGAAGGGTAAGGAGTCAAGAAGCTTCATTGGAGGTAGTCGTGCACGAAGAACTCGGTCAATATGTAAAATACCACAGGTAGGCTCCATGAAGAAACAGATAGGAAATATCCCCTTTGCCCAAGCCTCGATGGACAGAGTTAATTGGTACATGTGTTGGCACGAGGTAGCATGTATACTGTGGAATTGGTCGAGGTGCGCGCAAGTTGGCCCAGACACTACGGTCACTTGCAAATTTCATTTTTGGGTCTACGAGATGTAATGTTGGATAGCTGAGCCAATTTAGGCTAGGTCTAATACTGATCTTTCCAGACTAGCAACTGGAATTACTTAAAATAAGCTAATATGTGCTGATCACCACACTCCAAATTCCAGTTTCTAAAATATTGTTTTCTTTTCCCTCTCTTTCTTTTTTTGGTCGGCAACTTGGTTTTGACTCTCAAAATCTTCTAAATATCTTCTCTAGCTTTTCAGACTTTAAGCTCGAGAATAAAATGGAACACCACATCAACCAAAAGATCAACATAAATTTTAGTTGTAAATCAGGAGCCCTAGGCATAAGGAGAATCCTGGTTATCAGTATCCTACTTCTGTGAACACAGAGAAACAAACTATTGTTTACTTGATACCGAAGAACCAAGACTTCATAGCTGATATTCAAAATACGTCAGCGTTTCGCACCAGTCCTCACACGCTAAAAGCAAAAGGATCATGAGTACAATTTTTATGGTAAAACATACCATTGACGTAAAGCAACCTTAATTGTAAAAAGAACAAAACAGTGTATTATGCAGATGAATTCTTAAAAAAAATAAAAAATCTCTCCTCTATAACTTGGAGCTTTTAGCAATGTGCACCCTACATGGACTTGCAAACTGCTCATATTGCTGATTAAACGCGTGAAATTCTTCAAATGCTATTGTTATAAGTAGAAACGCCAGTCATGTGTAAAATTTAGCAGGCCAAAGATGGATCATTTGACAAGAGAATTGAGGATAAAACCTATCAAAGCACATATTCTCAGGTCTAAACTTGTCTCAAATGGCACTCTATCTTTTATCTATCTCAAACAATTAGAGTGCACATACTCCTAATTCATAATAATTCAATCAGAAAAGGAAATATCAGCAAAAAATAGGAAAATCATGAGGCTAATAACAGCAAACTTAAAAATTGCTTCAAACATCGTAAACCATCAACAGCAGAGGAGGAGGTAGGTTTTGAAGCTAACGGGCTCGATATTCTAGCGTTTCTAAGTTAATGAGTTCTAAATTAATAATTTGTACGTATTCAAATCAACATTTCAAGACAAATACAGAATTTGAACCAAAACTATTGGTTTCAGCTGAACCCTGAACCCGCAACTGAAGCTCTAGCTCCGCCCCTGATCAACACATTTCCGAATTGCAGTCATTGTTGTTATACAACTTAGATGTGCATAATAATTTAACCCATAATGACTTTTCCTTTTGCATCATTTGGTAACTTAATGAATCAGTATGTTAGGTCAACAAGAGCATTGTACACAGTTGTAACAAGTAAATAAAACTAAATTAGGGATCTTTAGTTCGAATATCCCGATACATTAACAGAACAGAAGCATGTAACATCAATAAAAACACAAATTTAATTATCCACAAATCAAAATTAACTATAGGCAGATGATCAAGGGGTAAAAACAAATATTCAATACATAAAAAAGACAACTTTTTTTCAGCACATAACATAAAACTAAAACAGGCAAAGCAAGAAAAACTAAGTTTGCAAAGATTAAAGTTTTTACCAGCAATTCTTTTGGATAAAATCTCAAACCAATCAGCAGCAGAGCCATTCTGTGAAGACCCAGAAGCTAAATCATCTTTTGCAACTTTCTTCTCTACTTTTCTTTTCTTTTTTTGCCCTTTAACTGGACCCATCACTCAAATTGAATCAAAACCCACAAATCCCACTTAATTCAAACATAACACAAACCCCATTTCATTATAAAACAAAAAACACAAACAAAGATCATACACAAGTATTTAAGACACAAAAACATGCAACTTATATATATGTAAAAGATGCTTTAGTTACTTGGTGTCATTGGTGTGTGTTTTTGGTGTGAGTGGCTTTCTTGAAATGCTTCAAAGCATGCAAAGTACATATTGTTAGAGAAAATTAAAAAAGGAAATACATATTGTGGGTTTTGACATAAATAGAATTAAAGAACAGAAAAAGATAGGGAGTATTGTGTTGAGTGTTTGTTTGTTTAAGACAATGTGACAGACATAGGAATTGGTCGAGACTTCAAAAGAGACTCAGTTTTTATACTATGGTTATAAATTTCAGAGTGAAAAAAGAGACGCAGAAATTTTAGCGTAAATTGGATTTAAAGGGAAAATAATTAGAGAGAAAGAATATGGTAAAAATTAACTCGCGCTCAGGTTTTTATATCAAGTCAACAATTGTGTTTATACATATTTTTTATCCACACATGTGTCATGAAGCCACTTTGCTGGAAAATTACACTTATAACTTAGACAAAATTTTGTTTTTATGTATATATACTATAAATCTTCTTAATTTTTTTTTTGTATGTTTACTTTCTCAATTTTATATAATTTAACATGGTATTAGAGTCCATCATATAGGGTAAAGCAGTCTGGTGCACTAAGCTCCCGCCATGCGTGGGGTCCAAGAAAGGATCGGGCCAAGAGTCTATAGTACGCAGCCTTATCCTGCATTTCTGTAAGAGGTTATTTCTACGGCTTGAACTCGTAACCTCCTAGTCACATAGCAGCAACTTTACCAATTACGCCAAGACTACCCAGGACATATGAAAAACATAAGCAAATAAATAAACCTCATAATTTAAGATTTTACAACGAGAAAGTTCACACAGTTCAACAGCTTTGAATTGCTTTTCAAGATAGATAATTATTTGCTTTAAAGCATGTAGGTAGAGTTATAGAATGCCACAACACATTTTACTTCTTACTGACGAAGCCAGTGAACTTAATATAAATTTATATGATAAGTAAAATACATATCATAAAATATTTCAACTATAGATTTACACGTAGTTAGAGTTTAAAATAATGGGTGCAGCCACACCCAGAAGTCTGGCAAGTGTAGGTCAATGTCGTTATAAATTTATTGCTTAAGGGGATAGGACGATTTATCCAATTGTCCACTACATATATATATATATACTAATATTGTTAAGCCCCGGCCCAAGCCTAATACTAAATATTAAATGGATAATCATCGGATTTACCATTTATGGTTAAATAGATTATACGTAGATTGTATATGGCTATAAACATATCAAGTATATATTATACATTCGTCGTCTATTTTAGTTTAAGCAATTGGGTGTACAGTAATTTGGGTTAATTCTTCTGATTATTTATAGACATAATTTCAAAAACTCTCTTGGTTTGCTTTAGTAATACTAATTACCTCTCATATGGTTTAAATACTATAATTACCTATTTTGTTTCTATTTTCTGTTAAGAAACTGGTTTCAAGTAATATATATTGATGTAGTATTTCGTAATTACCTTCCTCAACTTTAATTATTAGTTTTTAAGTTTCATTACATAAATATCTCTTTTTTATAAAATAGAAAAGGATATTATATTGTATTTTTGATTAATCTTTCAAATCTTTAAAAGATATAAAAATTGATTATTTATGAGATTAATTCAATGAGAAAGAAAAATAAAAGAAAGCTTCACAGCTTTGCATTTGAATTTTTGTAGCGAAAATCTATGTAGATTTAAGAAGTAAATTTGTTAATATATAATGAGGCATATGCTTATCTTTAATTTTACTTCAATGTTGCTTTTTTATCTTTATTACTTTAAGACACAGTTTATCGATAATTTTTCTTCTGGTTAGACAATCTTTTACTTTATAGAAATAATTTTATATTTTTGTGCTTTCAAGTATTTTTATTTTTGATTATATACTTTTAATTATTCATTATTATTTTGTAGTAAGAACATTTTACATTTATGTTGGATGTTTATTACACATGGCTTGTAAATTAGATTTTGTTTTCTCGTTCTTGATTTTTTTGCTTCCAGTGCTCTTTACAATAAATATAATAGAGATTTGTAACTCTAGCCAAGTAGTGTAATAAAGCAACATTATCTTCTTCTTTATTTAAGAGTTGCAGAACCTTGAAAATAACAATGAAATTACAAAAGGGTAAAACTTAAAAATAGTGAAATTTATATTGTTACCAAAAATCATAATATGGAAGGTATATAACATTACAAAACACAAGGTTGACTAGTGTCATAACGGTAAATATGGTGGAGATCTTTAAAATTACCCTATTTATCTTTGCCCACTCTTATCTATATTATGTAATAAAATATGGTATACGGGTTGAGAGGGGTGTCTATCAGGTCACTGGCGAAGTTAAAGTGTCTATTTGATCGTTGTTGACAATTTAAAGAGACCGTTTGTATTTCGCCAAAAACTAAAAATGTTTTAAAATGACCTTGAAATTTTTTAATTTACCAAAATAGAAGTGTGAACTAAGTAATAGTAATAATAATAATAATAATAATAATAATAATAATAATAATAATAATAATAATAATAATAATAATAATAATAATAATATAGTAGGAGTAAAAAGGAGGCTTATGAAGAAGTTATAGTACTATCACGTATCACGTTACTTGTAAAAGTTAGTCTAAGGGGCTATCATGTCTTACCAAAAAGGCTTGAAAGTGACTTGATTTATGGACAATACATTTTAGTAGATAAAATAATATAGGATAAATACAAGGGTGAATTTGGAAGAGAAAGCCTTTTAGTTGGAATGTCTAATTGTAATTTCATTGTCCCTTATTATATATATATATATGTTAGTTCTTATCATCAATCACTTTGCTAAATCTTTGTAATATTACTAATTGATTTATCTATTGATGTTTTACCTATTAAACTTTAGACCTTTCTTAATTAGTATTACCATGCCAAATGACTTTACTAATCCGGTTGTAGATTGACCTGTGATTGTAGTATTACCAACTAATTTCCACTAGCAGCAGCAAACTCAGTGTAATTCTACAAGTGAGGTCCGGAGAAAGTAATATGTATGCAGTCTTGCCCCAACCTTATGAAGGTAGAAAGGATATTTTCGGTAGACCCTCCACTAAGGAAAAATATAGTAACAATATTGTTGAAAAGAAAACAATAGTGTCTAAATCATGGAAAGAAAACATTAACACAAAACAGTATCAACAACAACAAGATAACAAGAAAATTGAAGCAAAACAAAGAACTAATAATAATATAAATCTTAGTATACGAAAATACGAGAATATTATTGATCCTACATGTAAGAAAAAGATACACTTACAACTACCTACTAGCCTTCCACTCTAATTCTTGACTTTCGGTCACGTTCAAACTTGGGGAGGCGTGGCTGACACCCGGTGCCGTAGTGGCCCGAGTGAACCACTCTGTAACTCATTCATTCCTTTTGTAACTATCATGGGTCAACATGGCCACAACTCGTAATGTACAATTGTAAGTGGGCAAATGTTATATTAATGAACAATCGTTCTTAAAACATGAATACATAAGTACCGTCAAGGCCTTTGAGATACCGCACAAAATGATCCTTTAATATTCTAATGATATGGAAACATAATGGCTATTTAGTTCAAATAAAGCATAAACAAGAACTTGGTTTGTGGACTTTTAAGTCATAACTCAATAAATCGTTTTAAAACTTTCTTGAGGTTCTTCAATTGGAAATTTTGCGACATATCCTCTCATTATTATGTTTATCAAAATATTAACCTCTAAGTTGAATCTGCTATCAAATTAGGAATTCAAATTTTTGCCTCAATTCCAAGTTTTAAAAGAAAAAGGAAGCTAAGGTATAACATCTATAATACGAAGACGATATACTGTATATCCGAAAGTAGTAATAATGGTAACTATCCAAAATTATACTTATAAAACCTTTACTAAAATACTTCACTTAAAAAAAATACCACACTAACATAATATCTAACGATATTAAGGTTGTAAACTTACAGGGTCTCATAATAATAATGTTTTAAACCCTCTATAACCTCCTATTAGACATAATCCTTTCGAACTCATATAGATTACTACGACTCATCCTAATATTAAAATACGGGATGTAATACTTTCACACCTTCCTATTAAGGGTCATGTTCTCGATAAGTTGCAGTTGTGTCATGTCATGTCTTATCACCTCTCCCAATACTTTTTAAGCCTACCTCTAGCTCTCCTTAGACTCACCATGACCAACTTCTCACATCTTCTCATTGGGGCCTCTTTATATGCCTGTACCATCTTAATCGCTTCCCACAACTTATTCACCACGGATGTCACTTCCATCTTGTCCCCAATATTTTCATTCATAATGTTATCTCTCTTGGTATACTCATACATCCATCTCAACATTCTCACCTTTCGCTATTTGCAGCTTCTGAACATGAGAGCTCTTGACTGGCCAATACTCCGCTTCATACATCATAGTCGACCTAATAATTTCACTCTAGCATTCCTACTAATTCTTTGGCAATTTCAGATATAGTTTTTGCGGCAATAAAATTCAAGATTTAAAGGTTGAACCATCTATTTCTTTGAAGATATGTGCACAAAGAGTACTATTTAAATCAGCTATTTGATAAAACTCAAAATATAATGCATATCATTTTGAAGATTCTTCTCTAACAATGAGAACTTCAAATACTAATGAAGGTTTACTCCTCTTGTAAGTTGTAACCACCAAATATTTACTTTTATTTTAACTGGTAGGAGAAAATGAAGTAAGCGAGTGATCTAAGTCCTAAGATCAAGGAAACATTGCGATAGGGAATGTTATAATATTGCAAATAATTTAATCTTTATTTTCTAGTTGACAAGTGCTCTTTTTTCTCCAAAGATTTTATTAAAATGTAACAATGATAGCAAAGTATATGATTATATGGACCTCGCAAGGCAATGTTACGTAATTGTTCTATTTGTTTTTAGTATCACGTCGTGTACAGTCCACATATTCACTAAATCTAAGATTAAAATAAAGACTTTCTTGGTACCAAAAAATTAAGAGTTCGAGGGTTATTACACCTAATTAATTTATATATGAATTCGTTCTTCTACTTATTATTTTTTCAAGTACTACATAAACTGGAAAAAAAATTAACAAAAGAAACTTGTTTAACTACTGAAGTAGTACTGATGTTACTCCATTAATATTTATACGAGGAAGCAATAAATAGAAGTTTTAAGGACTTCTATTCAATGGGGCATTTTCTGGTCAACGCAAATATTACTATTCCATTACTGATGAGAAGAGG